AACTATTAAAAAGTCCTAAGATGAGATCTTAAATGAAATAAAAAGCTCCTTGAGAAACAAAACCTGTCAAAACAAGTCCAACAGTTAGAATATCTAAATAGTTCTAAATATGTTGAAGATACTGAATGTATAATGATGAGACACATCTCACAACCCCAGTGCACTGTTGGTGGGAATGCAGATTGGTGCAGCCACTCTGCAAAACAATAGAGTTTCCTTAAAAAATTAAAAATGGAACTGCCTTTTGACCCAGTGATCCCACTTCTGAAAATCTATCCTAAGAATCCCGAAACACCAATCAGAAAGAATATATGTACCCCTAGGTTCATAACAGCGTTATTTCCAGAATCCAAGATCTGGAAACAGCCCAAATGCCCATCAGCAGATGAGTGGATAAAAAAGCTGTGGGACATTCACACCCTGGAATACTATGCAGCTGTGAAAAAGGAGCTCTTACCCTTTGCGACAACATGGATGGACCTGGAGAGTATTACGCTAAGCGAAATAAGCCGGTCAGAGAAAGACAAATACCATATGATTGTGCTAATATGTGGAATCTAATTAACAAAATAAACTGAGGAACAAAATGGAACCAGAAACATGGATACATGAAACAGACTGGCCAGCCTGATGGGAGGGTGTGGGAGTGACAGGATAAAGAAGGTGAAGGGATTAGTTAAGGGACATATATGTATACCCCGAGGACAGGGACAATAGTGCGCTGAAGGCCAAGGGAGGGGAAGGCAGGGGTTAGTGGAAGTGGTCATAGGGTGGGAGGGGGAAGGGACACACCTGCAATAATGTCAACATTAAACAATTTTAAGAAAATAAAACATATCCTGAAAGAAAACTCTGGGTTCACAGGCTTCTCTGGTGATGTATTCCTGATGTGTAGGCCACAAGGAATCTCATTTTAAGATTCTTTCAGAGAGGAAGGAAAGAAAGAAAAACACTAATTTTATGGAACCACTGAAACACTGGTCTCAAAACCTAAGAAGGACATTACAAAGAGAGATAATTATAGGCTAGTGCGCCTTACAGCAGAGGAGCCGAAATTCTAGAGAAAATATTTGTGAATATAACTAGGGGCTTATTCTGGGAAAAGAAGCTGGTTTTGACTGACTTAACAAAGGAAGAACATGATTATCATGAGATGCTGAAAATATTTATAAATTTTAATACCTGATAATGATAAAACTTCAGCAAAATATTTGTAGAATTTAAATACCCACAGCCAACGTTATAATGTTGCTGACTCAATATCCAGCATTACCACACCCACGATTGATTTGGGGTGCAAGATGGGGAGATTCACAATAGCCACTTGTATTTGAAATTATACGGAAGATCCTAGCCAGCACATACAGTCTAGAAAAACATAAAAGAGCATTTTGGTTCATACATGTTTGTGGACATACACACTCGTCTGTAAGTGCAAGCCCTGGGACATAAATCAGGCATGTCTTAAGCTTATTGCAAGACAGTTCTCCAAAGTGCCGGCACCGTTTTCATACACCTTAGAAATGCCTGAGCGAAGGTCCTGGACGTTTGTACATACGCTTATTGGCTATTTTGAATGTCTTTCATTACAAAGCCCCTTTTCTAATTATTTTCCTATTTACTTGTCCTATTTGTCTTTTTCTTGATTGCCAGTTACTGTTAATAGATTCTGGATATGAGTGCCTTGTCATATACACAGGCTATGACTGTCTTTCCACATCCTGTGGCTTGTCCTACTAGCTTCTTAACGTGCATTTCCAGGGGCAGAGGCCGTTAATAGATGAAAGAATAAACAGTGTGCTGTAACCATACAATGAAATGTTACTCAGCAATAAAAAACCCAGACCCATGCTTTATGTAACAATGCGGCTACATCTCAAAACATTATTCTGATTGAAAAAATCCCGACAAAAAAGCAGGTAGAAAGCATTATCCCAATGCTACAAAACTCTGCAAAAGCAAATCTCATGGAGAGATATAAAGCTGATCAGGAGTTCCTAGGGGCTGGAGGTTAGACGTAGAGGTTTCTTGGAAACAGAACAAAAGAAAATGTTCTATTCTGTATTTTGATTGTGGTAGTAATTGTCCTTGAGTACGTTTCTCAAAACTCATTAAATGATATACTTAAAATGACCACAGCTTATAGTATCATAATTGTTCAACTTTTATTTGAAAAAAGATACTTATTTGCTAAAACATAATATTTTAATATAGCATATTAATATAACTTCTGAATAATATTTTTCACATGAAGACTTCTTTCATGATAAAACTCATTAAATATATGCCAATTTGTTTTTAATAACACTAATACATTTTTCTATATATAAAATTTAATTGCAGCACTATAAGTATTCTAAATATAAATATTTTTACTTAATATCAGTTTTATTGCTAATAAAGCCATTAGGTATTAGTCTGAGGATACATTTGACTATCTAATAAATGGTATGAGGCCATTTTCATAAATATGTGCTTTTAACAATGTATTGCAGATAACTTCAAAGGATTAATAGTCCTATAGAAGAGAGGACCTGATAGGCACTTTCTGAGTATAATTATTTTCTCTTCAACTGTTTTTAAAGACATTTATAAGGTTTTTTTTTTGGTGTATGTTGTTGTGGTTTTTTGTTGTGTTTTTTTTTGGTATAATTTTTTTGTACTTAATTTACAATTTCCTAGGAGAAAATAAGTATTAATCTGAGAAATTTAATCTCTTTACATTCTTTGCATATATTTCTTACATAATTCTTTATATAGAGACTGGAAATAAATGGTGTGTTTTAAAAGAAACAGAATGTATCAGATACTTGCAATGTACTAGGCCTTCTAAAATAATAGATTATCTTTTGGCCTAATTTACCCTTAGAATATCAGCTAATCCCTACTCCTATCACCTGCCTCATCAGCTTTTAATTTAGGCATTTAGGAATTTTGCATTTAAGAAGGAAAAATTTAAGTGTTTGTAGAATAAAGAACAAAAAACATTTCTTGTTTAAATCCATACCTGCAGGGTGTGAAAGCAAGAGCGAGGTGATTAAAACACAATCATCTCAGAAAATAGGCTTGGATGAAACATTCAGTTTTATATTTTCTTAGTTCAAATGGGAATAAGGTCCCTGGAGTTCATCTTCTGATTAAAAGGATATACTGAGAGAACAGTGTGAAATATTGCTACCAGAAGCTCTCATAATTTATGTTAAGGTAAAGGCAAAAAACACCCAGATTTTCTATCAGTGATGTAAGCTGGACGGAAGTAAACATTCGAGAGATGGGCCAGGTTTGTTTCAAGGCAGACTTTGAAAGAGCAGTAGTTTTGATTTTCTTTGAAGCCATTCTCATAATTCAAGGAAATGAAAGAACAGAATTGCTTTTTATCAGGTCTTACTCTCCTACCTGAAATTCTACTTATGTTTGAATTTGGGGGTGGGGGGTGGGGGGGGGTGGTGTGTGTGTGTGTGTGTGACAAGTAGGCCCAGATAACGTGTTCTGAAAAGCTCCCCTTGCTAAAGCACTAAGCAGGCATCACTTTCAATCGTATTGCATTTTTTTCAGAGATCATATATTCTGTTTTTTCCCCCCTCTCCTTGCCCCACATATTCTTCTACTTATCATAACAATCAAAAAATTAAGTGCCTTAAGGGAGTCATTAAATTCTTGAGAATTTCCTAAATCCCTCAAGAAACAGAGGAACTTTAAATAATACATTCAGTATATCCTTTTAATCAGAAGATGAACTCCAGGGACCTTATTCCCATTTGAACTAAGAAAATATAAAACTGAATGTTTCATCCAAGCCTATTTTCTGAGATGATTGTGTTTTAATCACCTCGCTCTTGCTTTCACACCCTGCAGGCTTTGCCTTTGCTTCTCACATAATAAGGGAGAAATTGGAATTTCAATCCTACTACCTACAACTTCTGTCATTTACCTAGTTTATGAATCACTAAAGGTCAGACAAATTGAACTATTATTTTTGTTTTGTTTTTGTTTGGGGGGTAATGTAGAGAAATAAACCGTGGCAATGAGTGATCATGAGATTCCTACATGAGCTAAGGTGTTGGACATTTTTTCTTCCATTGGTAAGTTAAATTCACTTATTTGAATATCCCATATACATACATATCCTGCAAATCAGTTAAAAATACAAAAAATATGGAAAGAAGAAAAAAACTGATGTTCAGATTTTAATCAGAGAAACACTTCAAATTATAGGGGTGGGAGCAATTTGCAATTTGGCCGCTTTTCCTACTCCATACCCTACACTTAAATTTTTTTTTCTCCATTAACATCAAAATTGTTATGCAATTTCTTTCTTTTTCTTTTTCTTTTTTTAATCCTTACCGAAGGATATTTTTCCCATTGCTTTTCCAGGGAGAGTGGAAGGGGGAGAGAAAAAGAGAAATATCAATGTGAGAGACACATCAGTTGGTTGCCTCCCGCATGTGCCCTGACCTGGAGTCGAACCGGCAACCTTTTGGTGTTTGGGATGACGCCCCAACCAACGGTGCCACCCAGCCAGGGCCACAGGACAGTTTATTCTTACATCTTGATATATTTGAAGTTACTCCTATTAAATCCGAAACGAGAAGTTGAAAAAAGTTTCGTGGTACCATAGATTAAAATTTCAACTTTTATTATTATGCTTTACAAGCTGGATTCCTTTACCTACTTTAGAATGAAATTCACTCATTTTTTTTCCCCCTTCACACTACGACCAGCACTTTGAATGCATCCTGAAGCTAAAACCCTAGTGTTTTCATTTTTCCTCATGGAATTTCCTGATGAGACAGGCAAATAAACAGTGATTGAAAAGACTAAAGACTTTCTAGTTAAAAATTTCTAATTTAATAACTAAAAAAAAAAAAACCACAGAGCAGAGCAATCAATGAACACACGTCACACAGCTCGTGGGGGCTGCTAAGTAGCCTGGCGAGGGCGGAACGATCATTCTCAGCTTATTCCAGCCTTGGCATCGGCAGGGTCCGGGGAGCAAGCGCATGGCCCTTGTCAATGTTACGCTGGTTACCGAGTTCATCCTGCTGGGGCTGACGGATCGTGCCGAGCTGAAGGCGGCCCTCTTCCTGCTGTTCCTGCTCGTCTACGCCGTTTCTTTGGTGGGGAACCTGGGGATGGTCCTCCTAATCCGCATCAGTCCCCAGCTGCAGACGCCCATGTACCATCTCCTCAGCTCCCTGTCCCTGGTTGACGCCTGCTACTCCTCCGTCTTTGCCCCCAAAATGCTGCTCAACTTCTTTGTCGAACGAGACAGGATCTCATTTTGGGCGTGCATTGTGCAGTACTTTTTATTCGTGTCACTCCTTACCACCGAGGGCTTCTTGCTGGCAGCCATGGCGTATGACCGCTACGTGGCCATCGCGAGCCCTTTACTTTATACAGTGGCGATGACCAGAACGGTTTGCGTTGCCCTGGTCGTCGCGTCATGCGCGGGAGGTTTGATCAACTCGCTGACACACACAATGGGCTTGATGAAACTGTCTTTCTGTGGCCCCAATGTCATCAGCCACTTCTTCTGCGACCTTCCGCCACTGTTGAAGCTGTCCTGCTCCGACACGTCCATGAACGAGCTGTTGCTTTTGATCTTCTCTGGCGTTATTGCCATGATCACCTTCTTGACGGTGATGACCTCCTACTCCTTCATTGTCGCCGCCATCCTGAGGATCCGCTCGGCCGCGGGTAGACGCAAGGCCTTCTCCACATGCGCGTCCCACCTCACAGCGGTGACTTTATTCTACGGCTCCATAAGCTTTAGTTACATTCAACCAAGCTCCCAATATTCCTTAGAACAAGAAAAGGTGGTGTCTGTGCTTTATACCCTCGTGATTCCTATGTTAAACCCACTGATTTATAGCCTGAGAAACAAGGAGGTGAAGGGTGCTGTGAAAAGGGCTATACAAATGAAATATTTTCCTTGTTAATTTCATACCACACGTCCCCTAAAATAACGTACAAACAAGTGCTTTGGATAATGATATCTATATGAATTTATTAAAACTTTGATCCCAAAGGATTCTTAGAGTTTATCTAACTGGAACCCTCTGTTTTACAGTGGGGGAAAAAGGCCGAGGAGAATCCATGTTATAGTACCTACGGCTGGTTATTGTGTAAACTAAGCTAAAAACCATAGGAAGGTCTAGGTTCGTTATCTCTGGACAATTGTTGACATTTTAATTCTTGCATATTGGTAGAAATAAACATATACATATAGCTATATAGACACAAAAACACACAGATACTGACATAAAATTCATAAATAGTAAAATATCTCTTAACTTGGTCTCTTTGTTGCACAGAAAAAAATAAAATGCTTTTCAAAAGCAAAATGTATCTGTACTTGAGTTGTCCAATAAAACAAACAGATCCATGTTCCTGAAATTATCTTGGGCTATTTATAGTCAGATAGTCTTCAAAAGAAATACACACATTCAAAAATAATCAGAAAGAGAACTTAACTTAGTCCTAGACTCCCTGAGCCCTCACAGTGGTTAGTCTAAACCATTTCCTTATTCTGGACCCAGTTTCTATTACTACACATGGAACTGAACAGGATGGAATGAGAGTTTTATTACTACTTCACACGGAAAGGCCACTAAGACTCAGAGGAAACGTACCCTGAAGAATTTAAGAAAGGATGCCTCCATGATAATCAGGGAATCATTAATAATCAGACCCACTTCCCCCTTTTCTTTAAGGATCTTCCAACATATTCTTCAGACATTAAACAGAAAATTTCCTGAAGGATTGCTAGGTAGGGAAAACACGTGAAGCCAATTGTTTCCCCTTTGATGCCAATCATATGTACAGGTGCATCACAGTAAAATCAGCCCATAACTACAGAGTGTTTCACAGTGATCTCTTTCCCCGAAGGTGCTATCAAATGTCCTATCTGGAAAACAACACTATTCTAGAGAATATCTTCATTTATAAATAAAATTAAGTTGAATTTTTGGAGTTTGTTTTAAATACTGAAATAATCACCGAACCATATATGGAACGTAATGAACAGAATGAACTAGCAAGCAAAATAGAGGCAGGCTCGTGGAGAGAGCAGGCTGACCCTAATTTGATATTGAATACTCTCTAAAAATACTCTCATCTGCCATGATTCATCTCTTTTACTTTACCCAAATACTTACTGGATTAGTTATTGTTGATTCTATTTCCTAAATAACCTTGAAATAAGTTTCCTCTTCTTTTGTTATCATCTTTGTGTTACTGGGACACCCTTGCGGGGCTTGGCTGCCTGTCGCTGTGTCCAGTTCAGCGGGGGGGGGGGGGAAACCTGTAAGGCCTTTATTGAAAAGGCTGCTGACCGAGAAGACAGGGGGCCCCCAAGCATCCAAAACCTGTCTCAGGAGTGGCCTGAAGCACAGGGCTGTATAGGGAATGGGGTAAACTGAGGCTGGGAATGGAATACAGCTATTGTGCAGCCTGGAGGTCCACAGGCGTCAGCTGTTGTTTTGGTCATCAGGCGATGTCTCGATAAGATGATTTCTTGAGTCCTGGGTGGCTTGGCCTGACCACGCCTGTTCAATGCCACATTGGCCACAGCTGCGTCTCCTCCTTAACTGCTTTGTCTGGGATCAAGGGGAGTATAGGGCCTAAAGGCCTAGGAGAAAGACACTTAAGGAAAAAGAAACTTAAATCCCCGCTCACCTAAGTATATGTGATCTACAATTTATAAGTAATATAATTATATCTCAGATTAATTCAGGTGCTCAGTCTTTGGACATTATAAATGCCCCTATCACTCCCCCTCTGATTAGGTAAATTAGTTGGTATCTATCAACCTCCTACTATACTAAATCTTATTCTTAAATCTGTCATATTGCTGTAGGGCTAAAATCTTTGCTTCTGCCGCACAGCGCCTGTCCGGCTTGGGGCGGATAAACCGGCAGAGGCTGGAGAAGAGAGGCACACATTGTAGACAACAACGCGAAATAAGACAAATGAATATGAAGAGTAAAAAGACCAGGAATGCTTCCTTTATCCCAGTCCGGCTGGGTAAGCAAGTGGTCATGACAGTGAGCTCCTTAGTAACAGTGACACGGGAAAGAGTGTCTTTGACTTTCTGTAGCTTATGCTCTATGAGTCCAGAGTTATCAGTTAGAATAAAACAGTGCCTACCCTTAAAATCTTCACACCCCTGATTGTGCCTGAGTAATAGGTAATCAGTGGTGGCTGGATTTTCTAGGATGGCTTCTCTTATTGCCCTAGTTCCTGACCCATCGCCGCTATAGCTTGGGAGGTAGAATTTAGAGCTTTTGCCATAGCATAAGTCAAATTAGTAATTCAGCATTCAATAGTCCGACCATCACTGGAGCAACAAATACAGTCACAGAGATAGATTCAGCCTGGCTGAACAGATGGACTTCACCATCGCAGTTCTCCTCTAGTGGGAGCTCAGGGCACACTCACTGAGGATGAGGCATCTGTGGCAATATTACAGTCAAGCGTCCAATGGTGCAAGGCCTCCAGCACTACTCATAGGTACACAAGATATGCTGATAAACCACAGAGCAGGAAACAGCCAGGGGGGAGGCAAACATGCCCATTTCCAGAAGATATAGAGGCGTTTTCCTTTGAACAGTTCAACTGCTGCTGGTTTTTCAAAGACAGTTTCCTGGACATCCTGTAAAGTATACACACTCTCCTATAGGACCCCCCCCCACCGCTACTTTAATAGAAAACATAGTACAATCCCTTTCAACAACAGGGCAATTGGAAGCATCTGGTCCCAATGCAGATGAGTCTCCTGGCATAGCTTTGGCTCTAGACCTTTCCTGAGGCCAGGTGTTATCTCTACAGAGGAAAGGTCAGGGGGTCCAAACCGCAGGACCAGTGATATGCTAAGACAGGCCCTCCAGGCGGGGAGGCCCCACCCTACCCTACAATTGTTCCTTGCTAGGCACCTGGGGCTTTCCACCCTGATGACCTTCTGTACCTGGCCCCTTGTCATTGCTCGGCTCATGTCTGTCTGACTGCCTACTGTACCCCTTCAAGGATCTTGGCTCTGAATTATTTCAGAGAAGAGGGGCGCAGTCTCTTCTTATAGCTAGTTCTTGCTGAAGAGGGGTGAAGTTTTCAGTCAGAGCCAAGCGATCCTTGCTCAGAGGGACAGTGAGGCCTGGCCACAAAGGGAGGTGGCTGTGGTATCTAGAGGTGGTTTTCCCTGAGTACGAGTAGGGCTTGTAACCTGGTGGACACAAACTGTGTTATAAATTTTAGTATTATTGGGGCAAAGCTAGAACAACAAGAATTATGACAAATGGCCTGGTAGAAGGAAAAACAAAACATTCCAGTTCTAATGTTTACCTACTGAAACCATTTTCCCATCTAAAGTAACCCTCATTTCATTAAAGAGCTAAATTAAGACCAATCTCTTTATTATTCAGTTTCAATTTGGCCTGTTTGTATGAACCCAATAAGAATAGCACTTGACCATATAGGCTTTTTAAAATCTGCTTTGCTGGAATCTCATGATTGAGCTTTAATTAGCCCCTCAGGGGCAAGAAGCCGGCTACCTCGTTGCCATCAGGTTTTGCCTGCAATACGTATAGACTCAGGTGAATTCCTCAAGTTCTTGAGGTCCCCAAAATGTCTTGAGGTTCTTTTCTTGCCATCTCCCAGGAAAGCAACCTTCGTCCCTCTCATGGAAAGAGAGCCATGAACCATGTGACCAAGCAAGGTACCAGGCTTTCTCCAAGGGACTCTTATTGGCTTCAGAGTCAGCCTTCATTTTCTTGAGGCTTCCTGGCGACTTGCAGAGTCCAGGCATGTCTCTCTCAAATATGACATTACAGTCCAAGTCTTGGTTAATAAAACCACAACTGAAAACTGGTCTTATTGAATTCATGCAAAGCAATGTATTGCCAGGACTCACTCATTAAGAAATTGCTAAATTCCGGAGGGATCAAGTAGGGAGAAAAATATAATTTACCTAATTGCTTTAAAAAAAAGAAATAAGTTTCCTTATGCCTGAAAAACAGAAAGATTAGAAATCAGAAATACTTTTAATAAAGTTACAAAAACAATAATTATTTTCAGTTCATTCAGTCCCATAATCAATTTTTGTTTCTCCTGATTTTTCTTGCCAGTACTTCTATAAATCCAGATACTCTGTAGAGTTCCAATAATTCTCACTCAGTTCAAAGGGGATGTAATTTAAAATAAAAGTCAGAGTCCTTTCCATGGATCCCTCAGAAGACATGGCATTTCTGCAAATGCATTACAACAAAACAGTGACTGTCTCTATATAACAAGAAGAAATTTAAAATGACACAGTTATGGATTTGATTATAATGCAATTGACATGGAATCCTGTCCTTTCTGCAAAACACAATATTCCAGAATAACAAAGTTATAAATGAAAGTATATTAGAATTGATAGACTCCTGGAGATTTTTACATCTATTTGGAGAACATGTATATATAAATAGAATATAGTTATTATATTTTTATTTGACAAAGCTTCCATGTACCTTAAGTATAAGCTTTTCCTTCACAAGGAGAGAAAACAAAGTCCTTGAGGCATTCTAGGGCCTATTGGTGCGACCTAAAGCCAATTCTGGGTCAAGAAAAAGTTTCCTAAAATTCAAACCCTGGGAAGGTTGTCAAACTTATTTGACCAAAAGATCCTATATCATTATTATTATTACAAACAGTATTAGAGTATTTATTTATCCAAAGTGACACGAGATATTAAATACAAACATAGGCTAGTAAAATTTCAGTTCCCATGTTAAGAAGATGGCTTTTTTAAAGTAATAAAGTACCTGATTAATATAACATAATATATAACCAAGTACAGGAAAGACTTTTCCGCTTTTAACAGGCTAGTAAAGGGCTAAACAAATTCTGTATTAGTTCACTTTAGAGTCATTTATCTAATTAAATTTATTATTCAGATTACCTATAA